AAGGTAATATAGAGGGGTAGCTAGGTGGTGAAGTGGATAGAGTTCCAGCCTTGGAGTCAGGAGGACCTGAGTTCAAATCTGACCTCAGACACTTGACACTTACTAGCTATGTGACCCTGAGCAAGTTACTTAGCCCCAACTGCCTTACCAAAAAGCAAAAAAAAAAAAAAAAAAAAGATAATATAGAAAAACTTTACTAATTTAAATTAATTTTTGTAAGGTCAGTTTGAAATGGCCCAAAAGTCAAAATTAACAACTTTTAAAAAAGACATTTTATTATTAATTTATTATTTTCAAATCCAATGACTCCAATTAGAGAAATAAAGTATTGTTTAGAAGCATTCCTCAAAGAAACTGCTGAAATAGGAAGATAAGAATGCTTTATAATTAATATGTCAAGTATTTGTAAATGGGGTATTTAAAAGCAAAGAAAAGTTTAAGGAAGTTAAACATTACATTTTTTTGTGCTTAGAAATTATTTCTTCCCTTCTTGACCATACAAGTGCAAACCTGAACCCAGTCCTTGTCTAATTATCATAAATTCTGATAGTAGTAGAGTCTAAAGTTTAACTATACTTATTTACTAAGAACTTTCTCTTCTCCCTTCTTCCTCTTGTCACAGTCCCTTGATTTCGTGTCCAACCATTTCCTGCTTTCCTCAAGTGTCTGTTAAAGAGGTGATCCTCTCCCTCACCAAGGCCAACTCCTCTGCTCATACCCTTGATCCTGTCCTCTCCTGCCTTCTTCAGCATTCTTTGAAAAAGTTCTTCTTCTTCTTCTCCTCCTCTTCCTCTTTTTCTTGAGGAAGGTAGTATCGCTTTTGGTTTTTTTTTTTTGCTGTAATATCCCTAAACCTAGCAGAGTGTCTCGTAAATAGTAGTTAATAAATATTGGTTGAAATTACAGTCAATGAAATAGATCTGAAATTAGTACAAATAATAATTTCCTGTTCACTTTTTTTAGATCTTGCATAAGGCAAAAGAAATTTGATTATAATGACCCTCACTTTCAGTCTAACTCTGAGACACTAAATATGGAGGGGGTCCCAAGTTCAGTAATGCAGAACATTCTTGAGGTCATATGATGCAATGGAAAGAACTCTGAAATTCAGAAGACTGGAATTTGAGTCCTAGTCTTATTATTAGCTGTGTGATCTGAACAAGGCACTTGTCTTCTGTGGGAACTGGGCCTTTAGTTTCTACATCTGTAAAATGGCCTTAATAACTGCCCAGTTCACAAAACTGTTATGAGGGAAATGATTTGTAGACCTTAAAGTGCTATGAAAACATGAGTAATCATTATTATCTGATAAGAGTCTACAGTTTGCCTGGTCTCCTACAGCCAATAGCTTCTCTAGTCCTCATTCAAACTAGGAAATTAAATGTCTCTTCTCAAGATTCTCCTCAATTTGTCCAGTTTAACTGAATTCTGATTACACCTACTTGTAATTATGTTTGCAAGGGGACCTTTCATTCAAGAACTTCAGCTTTAAATCATCACCTGGTTCCAATGATTGCAGAGACTGACAGCCATGGAAACTAGGTCACGATGGTTTAGTGACTTGTTACACAATTCACTCTGAGTAAAGAGAGAAAAGTCTTGAGCTAGAAAAGACATGTGGAAAGAGTCACCCCTAACTACTGTCTCCTGGAGAAGAGTGTCTGCTTTGAACTTATCAGTTGAATCATCTTTATTTAATGGGGCTAAAAGGGCCTAGGGCCTAGAGGGCAGTGCCTGTAGTGAGACAACATTTGCTGATGTCAACAAATGCTCTTGACAATGATTTAACTCAACAAGCATTCATTATATATCTAATGTATGTAAGAAATTGTAATGGGCATTAGGTACTATAAAGACAAAAAAGAGAGAAAGAGAAAATTTCTGTCCTCAAAGAGCTTATATCCTACTGGAAAAAGAAAAGAGGATGGATGCTAGGAGGGAGAAAAAGATGTGGAGATGATTTTATCTTTGCTATTAGTCAAGAATGTGCCTCAAGCAGCCCAGCCATAGTAATTAAGAAGCTTTAAAAAGATAATCTTAGAGCTGGGAGGAATAGTAAGTGCTTAGCAAATGGTTGCTGATTGGTTGAATAATCATTCAACTTAAAAAGCACTTTGGCTTGATATTTATAGTCTGATTTTGATCATTTCATCAGCTATGTAAAACAGGTATTTTGAATATTATTATCCCTATTCTGAAGATAAGGAAATTGAGGTGAAATCACTTGAGCAAGGTCATACAACTTGTAAGTAAGCGATCCAGGACTCAAATTTGGGTCCCCAATTTCCAGGGTCAATGCTCTGTCCACTATGGTTATAAATTATGTTGCTTACAAAGTTCCCTCCAGCTTTAGTAATCATTTCTCTGACCTCCAAATTCTTCCCATAATTTATAAGGCTGCCCCAAAAGTGTTACTGCAATTTTAAACTTTAATAATTTCAGAAGTATGCATGTCACCAGGTTACAAAAACACCATTTAAACATTTGATCATTTAAATTTATTTTATATTTACTTAATTTTATGAATTTTGAATAACAAATTTTTAATTTCCACTTTTAACAAATTTCTGGATGACACTTTTTTTTTTATTATCACATTAGTCATGTTGTAAAGAAGAACTGGAACTAATGGGAGGAACCATGAAAAAGAAGAAACAAAACAACAACAACAAAAGAGAGCAAATAGGATGCTCCCATCTGCATTCACATTCCATAGTTCTTTGTCTAAACGTGGACAGCATTTTCCATCATGAGTCTTTTGGAGTCATCTTAGATCCTTGCATTGCTGAGAAGAGCCAAGTCTATGAAACTTAGTCATCGCACAATGTGGCTGTTACTGTGTACAATGTTCTCCTAGTTTTGCTCACTTTACTCAGCATAAGTTCATGTGAGTCTTTCCAGGTTTTTCTGTTGCCTGCCTGCTCACCATTTCTTACAGAACAACAATATTCCATTACATTCACATACTTGTTCAGCCATTCCTCAATTGATGGACATCCCCTCAATTTCCAATTCTTTGCCACCACAGAAAGAGCTGCTATAAATATTTTTGTACATGAGGGTCCTTTTCCCATTTTTATGATCTCTTTAGGATACAGACCTTGAAGTGGTATTGCTGGGTCAAAAGGTATGCACAATTTTATAGCCCTTTGGCATAGTTCCAAATTGCTCTCCAGAATGGTTGGATCATTTCACAACTCCACCAACAATGTATTAGTGTTCCAATTTTCCCACATCTCCTCCAACATTTATCATTGTCCTGTTTTGTCATGTTAGCCAATCTGATAGGTGTAATATGGTACCTCAGAGTCATTTTGATTTTCATTTCTCTAATCAATAGTGATTTAATACATTTTTTCATATGACTCTACATAGGTTTAGTTTCTTCTTCTGAAAACTGCCTGTTCATATCCTTTGACCATTTATCAATTGGGAAATGACTTGTTTTCTTATAAATTGACTCAGTTCTCTACATATTTTAGAAATGAGGCCTTTATTAGAGTAACTGACTATAAAAATTGTTTCCCAGCTTTTTGCTTCCCTTCTAATATTTG